GAAGGTTCATGACCGTGTTCACAAGAGCACTCCACTGCTCCCTATCCTGAGCCAGATCAATCCAATTAATACCATCCCATCCTATATCTCTAAGATCCATTTTAATATTGTCCACCCACCTACACCTTCGTCTTCCCAGTGGTCTCTTTCCTTCTGCCTTTCCCACCAATATCCTATATGCATTCCTCTTCTCCCCCATTCATGCTACATGCCCTGCCCAACCCATCCTCCTTCACTTGATCATTCTAACTGTACTTGGAGAAGAGTACTGAACCTGTGACCCGCCACTTTTTACAAGCTTCCATACACACAACTTTGTGGGAATGGGTGAATCAGGATATTTACAACAAAACATGCTTATGGAGCTGAGCTCTTTTCTCGGAGAAGCCTAATCTGTAGCTACTCAAAAATTTCCCAGCATTTTATGGAACCCGAAGGTTCATGACCGTGTTCACAAGAGCACTCCACTGCTCCCTATCCTGAGCCAGATCAATCCAATTAATACCATCCCATCCTATATCTCTAAGATCCATTTTAATATTGTCCACCCACCTACACATTTGTCTTCCCAGTGGTCTCTTTCCTTCTGGCTTTCCCACCAATATGCTATATGCATTCCTCTTCTCCCCATTTGTGCTACATGCCCTGCCCAACCCATTCTCCTTCACTTGATCATTCTAATTATACTTGGAGAAGAGTACGTGCTATGAAGCTCCTCATTATGCAGTTTTCTCCAACCCCCTGTCACTTCATCCCTCTTCGGTCCAAATATTCTCAAACACCCTCAGTCTCTGTTCCTCCCTTAATGTCAGAGACCAAGTTTCACACCCATACAGAACCACAGGCAAAATTATAGTTTTGTATATTCTATTTTCTATGTTCTTAGACAGCAGAGGAGAAGACAAAAGGTTCCGGACTGAATGGTAGCAAGCATTACCCGAGTTCAAACTCCTCTTAATTTCCCAATGAATCAGGTTTTCATTTGTTATTGTCGTTCCCAAATATCAGAACTGTGCCACATTTTCAAACCTCTATTTCCTATTGCTATGTCATGATATTGCCATGCATTCTGGTGACAAGACAGCAACATATACTTAGTTTTCTGTGTTTACTTCTAGACCAACCTCATTACTTGCGTCAATTAAAGTTTGTATTCTTTCTTTATGGTATTACGACGAATCTTACGGATACATTTTCTGTAAGTTTTTTTTCCTTCAAAAGTTTCACCAATAAACACTTCAATAGTGAACTTCATTTTAGTATAAACATCTACCGCCTATCGACACCTCTAACACAGACTAAGTATTAATGTGACATACTGCAGTGATAAGATCAGACCACCTGAAGTCCCCCGTTTATCAGTGCTAATGACTCATTCTGCTATTGGCAGTTACAGCAGCACTCTGGGAGAAATGTTGGGCCGGTTCAGCCATATTGCCAGGTTTCCTCAATGATTGAACGCCATTGTGGGTTGTCGATGTTCACGGAGCCAACTACCTGAAACTACAATAAATGCTCGTTGCTCTTAGAACGCGTATTACAGACGAGCAGGGAGCATGTCTGAAGAATACGGGTGAAGACTCCTTTTGTAGCAGTTAGCCCGGTCTAGTGATGACAGTCCTGAGTGGAGGCTCCTAAAAGGGCCGTTTTAGTCTAGCTGAGTCTTCCTTATAGCGAGGAAGCAAGCGCGGCGTTCTTCATTGCGGCAGCAATATATCCTGTCCGGAAATATGCCATATGTCTCTCATAAACTGGGCGACAAATTCCAGATGGCAGAACTACCGCGGTGAGCATTTCGCCCACTTCTGCTGGAAGGCGTAGGTGATGGGCATGTGGTCGGCGAAGATGGTGAAGTGACGCGCTTCCAGCATATGGCAGAAATGATTTACAGCCTCGCAGATAGCCAGTAGCTCGCAGTCATAGGCGCTGTACTTCTCCTGCGCCTGCTTGTGTGTTTCTAGGATAAGGCAAGGAGCTGCCATGTGTTCCTGACGTGTTGTTGTAGCACAGTACCCATGTCGGGCGTGGAGGCATCTGTGACCAGTGCAAGTGGCGTGGATGGATCCGGGTGAGCCAGTAGAGTGGTGCTTGATAAAGTCGCCTTGCACTGCTCCTACCGCCAGCAGGTAAGCATTAGGTAAGTGTGCGGCTATTCCTCCTCTCCCCAATATGTTCAAGCTGTGATATTTATTAAGCACAGCACTGCCTCCTTAATAACCTTCAGAGTAGACAGTTGAGGATTATAAGTGGATAAGGTTCTATCATTTTTTCACTTTGAATTTACTGTACAGAATTCCAAATCATCCGGATCAACAACACTGAGACAGTGGACTACACCAGCGCGTGCACTACAGCGCCGGGCCAGCTAGACTCCACTCTCACGCCGGGTGGCCATAAAGAAGGCCTGGACTCTCCGACTAGGCTCGCCGCTATCCTGCCTGCTCTTAACCGCTCAGCGACCATAAAGGAAGGCCCACGCTACTACTAGCGCAAGCACGGCGGAACAAACGGCCCTTTTCAGGGCCCGCAAACTTGTGAGCAACATATGTATATGGTGTGACATATTGCGCTATGGAGGACATCCCTTCTCCCCCCAGCGGTGACGTAACAACATCGAGCGCTGTCGCTACTATGGCAACAGGCCAGTCAATACTCCGCCCCCTCCCGTGCGGTGACGTGTCAGCACTTCCCACTGTAACGTAACAGGCGACAACACCGGTAAACACGGCGACTAGGCAAAATGGAAGCGAGGTGTCTTCCATTGTCTGGCTGAGGGTTTATAAGAGAACTGCACTGCTTAAGGAGTCAGTTAAAATGTAGCAGTCGCCAAAGACAGTTTAAATATAGCAGCAGTTGGGGAAAGAAGAACCAAATGCGTGGTTAGAAGATTTGAATAATTGTGATAATAATGTGATACTTTGTGATACTGCCAATGGCAGTAATTGGGAAACTTAATTGTATAACTGTAAGAGTGAGTGTACAATAAATTCGCTATATCAAATAAGGCGTGAAGTTACTTGTCGCACATGCATACCCAACACGTGACAATTTGGTGTCACAATATATATATTGATTCAGCTTCGCAGCTATCTGTACATTTGAAAATAATATACACAATTGTTATAGTTTTGCGTGGTTTTCTCGTAGAACATAGACATACCACACTTCTATTAACTTTAAGAAAAACAGTTTTCTACAATAATTGTAGTACTTTTATTCCCAAGACAAGTTCTCTTATTAGACACGAAATTTTAACAGAGCATTGAAATTATTTTATTACAAATTATTTAAGGCACACAGCTGAGTAAACCATGGCTTTAAATACTGAGTAATTTTTCCATGTTACTATTATTAAACCACTGTCAACTTTCATTTATCACAAAGTAGTGTACTTGCTTTTAAAACGTTTCACTTAAGCCTACTGCTATGATATTCAACTGAAGTCGAATAGGTATCCATTACAGTACAGAGTGACATTGACCTTCAGTTAACATCAAGAAATAATCATCTTCTTTTGCTGTGTCATTCATTTCATTCACTGGGCTATGAAAATGTATTATTTTGTTGATTTTCTTTCATATTATCATAAAATTTCATTATTTGGGGGCAATGGTGAGAAAATGAGAAAATGATGTGCAGGAAAAGGGTTTAGGGATGAAATAAAAACCCTCTGTCTGAGTTGTGAACAGAAAGATGTCTATTGTCATTTAATAATAGATGCACTGAATATTTATTTAATATTCGTTTAATAGCAGATAGACTAAACATGGTCCCTGAAGCAGTTAGTCTGCTGCAACATGTCATTTAATATATACATACTGCTCTGATGCAATATAAAAGAACTATCAATTCAGTACAACTAATACTAATATTTACATGTATAACAAACAAGTCATGCCACAGCTCAGGTGCTTAATTGCTGGCTTCTTGTGAGATTTGTGGTTGACAACTTAGTAGTGGAGCAGATTTTTATCTGAATCTCTTTCCTCTATAAATCATCATTCCACCATTGCTCTATACTCATTTGTCACTGCACCATGAGGTGTGATAGCACTCACTGCACAGTACATCATCACATCCTCCATATTTAAGGTTGGGGCTTC